CATGCTCCTAGATATAAACTTTTCCTCGTCTGAATTTTCACGAGTAGACCTTTTACTAGGAGGCTCGCTTATTGACTTAGAATATGCCGATGACACAGTCTTACTAGTATAGTCTTCTAGTCTTCTCACTACCCTAAGCAACAATGCAAGCATGTTCGGTATGCGGTTCTCACCCTCGAAATGCAAAATGTTGCTTCAAGATTGGGTTGCATCGGCACCTGAACTAGTGATAGGGAGTGAAGTAGTCAAACGTGTAGACCGCTTCACTTATCTTGGGAAAGTCTCATCAGTGCTGATATCCTGGTGACTGACGAAATCTCAGCACGGATACAGAAGGCTCGATTGGATTTTGCCAACCTGCGTCACTTATGGCGTAGGTGAGATATCCGCTTGTTAACCAAAGGACGAGTGTACTGATTAGCAGTTCGCTCTGTCCTACTATACAGATATGAAACATGGCCGTTAGGAGTAGAGGACTTTCGTAGATTGCTTGTGTTCGATCATAGGTGTTTCCAAAGCATTGCTCGTGTATCCTATTACGACCGAGTATGCAATGCTATCGTTAGGAAACGAGTACTAGGTAGGGATAGCATACCAATTGATGAAGTATTGAAACTTCATCAGTTGAGGTGGTTGATACATGTGTTACGTATGCCTAACCACTAACTGCCTCGACGAGCGATGTTTTGAAGTGTAGGAGTAGGTTGGAAGAAAGCTAGGGGTGGCCAGACCGAAACATGGCAGAAATCCATGAAATCACTAACAAGTGGACTGAATCATGTTTATGGATGTAGGCTAGCTGGTTGGGCTCCGCGAGACGAAAGTCACCGGTGGTTAGAGACCTTGAACGACATGGCTCAGAATCGTTTGCAATGGTGCAGGTGCATCCACTCTTTATGTGCTTTTTAATTCTAACCTTCTGAATTCCTCATAATCTCTTTCGCCTTCTAAATTTATCTTACTGAATTATACTTTTCGAATCATTTCTTTTCTCCCTAATCTTCTCCATTGCTGCTAATAATTCTACTATCGCTATCACTCTTGGATTTGAACTGACAGTTACGTCTCTGTGCTGACGTGATATGGCAACGTGAACTAATGTACAATTATGTACGAAGTTCTGCCTTGTATCTGTGTGTCTGTATGAAAGATTAGGGATCGAATATATCACGTAACAAGTATATCCCAAAAGGAGTCAATTTAAAAAGAGAAAGATAGAAGTGATGAGGAATTCAGAAGATTACAGTTTAAAAGAGAAGACAAAGAGTTCATGTATCTACACCACTGCAAACGATTTTGTGCCATGTCATTTAAAGTCTCTAACCACCAGTTACAATTGTCTCGTACATCCAAACAACGTAGCTTACACCTACTAAAATGGCTCAACCTAGTTGTCAGTGAGTCCATCGATTTGTGTCATGTTTTGATTTGGTCGCCCATAGTTTTCTTCCAGCCTCCGCCTACATCAGAAAACATACATCGCTGAAAGAGCAAATTATGAAACTATTTTCCTTAGCCGAATTTACTAGTTAATAAAGTTACAGCCTATTGAATCTGTGAAAGTTAAACACTTCATCGTTTGAGTTCATGAAATATCAATGAATCAGTTGATGAAACATAAAAATAGCATAACAGTCTAACTTATTTGGAAATTAATTGGTGAACATATTTTTATCTCTAATCAATCTACGATATAACACAACTATCTGATGACATTAGTTCTACCATTGATAATGCATTGAAATCCACTAACATTCCTAAACTTTGTATATTACTACTCATCCTTAATAACCATTATTCAATAACTCCCAATTGTATATACATTTCAGAACCCTACCGTAGCTGTTACCTTGACTTGGTTAATCGAGCTTGCCTATCGTGATCATTCAACCGAGCTATATTGGCTGGAACATATATGTTTCTGTAGGTTCTACCATATCTCAGACAAGTCAATTAGAGAACGATAAGACTAAAAGCAGAAACTGTTCAAATGATACTTTCCACTATAGAAGATAATTGAACAAACGGACTTAATAAACAGACACAAGTTTAGGAGAGTGAGACACACACACACAGAGAGAGAGAGAGGTACTCTCTATAACATGAATCACTAACCACTTACTTATACACTGTAGATATATACAAGACACAAACTTAGAAAATACAATCATATCAACAAACTTATCATCCATTTATCAAAATTGAAATTTTTTTATTTATTTACTAACCTGTAATGGAGTAAATGCAATTGATGATGATGTACCAGCAACATGTTTACGTACAGTAGAATTACCGCCCCAATTTGTTGCACCTAATGATGTTGTCGGCATTGTTGACATACCACCAAATTTAGATAATTTCTGTTGTAATGCTTTACTGACACGAGCTTTTGTTTTAGAATCAGCTTGTGGTGCACGTAAACGTCCAGCTACACCACGTTGACCAAGTGAACCTAATGAAAAGCCTAAATCACTTTGATATGCATCATCAGTAATTTCACCGAATTGTATACGATTCGCTGATCGACGTAACTCACTCATACCTAAACGTTCTTTCATTTTACGATAACGTCGACCACCACGTTTTCTATTGATGAAACAGAAAAAAATAATCAATAATATTAGTTATTATTATTATTACTTACATGTGGAGTTTGAGTCGACAAAAAAAAATTAACTGCAAAATGACACAAGTTGTAGGACACATCTAAATCATTCTCGGATACACAATACGAACCATGTGATTTTCTTAGAATTTGCAATGGCGCATGTGCATTCATTCATTCATTCATTCATTGTGTTCTGTCAAATCCTAACCTTCTGAATTCCTCATCAGTCCTATCTTTTTCCTTTAAGTATATTTCACTAGATTCTACTTCTTGAATAACATTTTTGAACCCTAATCTCTCCGATTACTGTTAATACTTTTACTACCTCTACTACTTCTATGGGATTTGAAGTGACAATTGCATCTCTGTGCTAATATGGTATGGCAACTTGAACGGATGCCCGTACGTACGAAGTTCTATGTTGTTGTTGATTGACTTAGAGGATCACCCTTCAAGTTTAATGCACGAGGCCATGGAGCAACGTCAAGCGATACAGTCTCATAGTAGCGCTGGTGACTAATAATAAGTTCACAAGTCACTTTTTCCATCGAGATCGTGGAGCCCATATAAGGATGATTGGTTTGGAATTAGAGTTTTCCAACTCCCCCAGTTACATCTTCTGTACTCAAAAAAACCGGTTTAAGCCATGACCGGATATTTATGTTGTGAATAACACTCCCACGCCATGAGAACTCAGTGGTTAGGACTTCCCTGACATTGGGCTATACACATGTGGCCATGTGAAAGGATTTAAACAGGAAAGTGGACTCTCACACCACGTACCAGGACATTTATAGGCATATCTCCTCATCGCGGCTGGGGTCCATGATACTATATTAACAGATGGTTAGAGACCTTGAACGACATAGCTCAAAACGTTTGCAATGGCGCACGTGAATCCACTATTTGTATTCTATGAAATTCTAATCTTCTTAATTCCTTATGGCCTTTATTTTTTCGCCTCGAACCTATTTCACTAAATTATACTTCTTGAATAATATCTTCAGACCCTAATCTTCTCCATTACTGCTAATAGTTCCACTATCTCTACCACTATGTGATTTGAATTGACAATTACACCTGTGTTATTGTGGTATGGCAACCTGAACTGATGTACGTACGTACGTACGTACGTACGAAGTTCTATGTTGTAACTGACTGTCTGACTGTCCCCTTTAAACACTGACTGAGATTTCTAACAACGAATTCGTAAGCCCATTGCAACAAATATTTTACTACACTTAAAAATAGCTGACATACTTAATAGACTAAGCAAACCAGACCACATCACATCACACCACAAAATGAGAAAATACACTTGAGCAAGCCAAAAGTGCCTATGAATATGGCAGCAGGAGTTCGTTAAATGACAAGTTGACAAGAAAGAGATTAGGGAGTACGAGAATAGCAAATCGTACGAAATTAGTTAATGGGTTCATCATCAAGAGCTTATGATAGGTGAGGCATAAATGCTATAAACTAATCTAGTCACTGAATAATTATACAATGAGAATACATATATATTATAACAACCTATAAAGAGTTATCATCACCCACTAATCTTCCTCCAGATATAACAATTAATTATAAATTTACAAAAAGCAATGATCAGAGTGTTTGGGGACATTAGATTCTCAGAGCTCATTTTGGAAAAGGTCTTAATTTGGTAGTTTTATTTCGGGAATTCTGAATTTTATGTTTTTACGCCAAGAGACGCTCATTTTTGACCTTCAGCTTACATTTCCCAATCGGGAAATCCTTAACTGTCTGTCATTGATTGATAGATTATTTTAGTAAGTTATTTTGTGACTCTCATCAAGGGCATTGTTGTCATTGTATCAATAAGCTTGAGTTGTATGCTTGTTGACTTTGTACTTTCTAGGTTCCCTGTGGAAAACATTCTCTCTGCGTTCTTTAGTTAGCAGGGACTGGGACGATCGGATTAGAATAGCCTATCATGTCATTGGATTATTGATTTGCGTTCTGTTTACCGAGTAAAAGGTGAACTCGTAAACAGCTCGAACATATCACAGGGAGAGAGAGACAGACAGACAGAGAGAGAGAAAAAAACACTTACTTAGCAGGTGGATCGATTGGGGCTGGTAAAGCTTTAATTGTTTTCACTGGAGGTGGTTCTTGCCATTTATCGAATTTTCGTTCAATTTCCAATAACAATTTTTCGCCAACATGTCCATTCTTCAATGTGAATATGAGATTTTAAACAAAAAAGATACGAAAAAGGATAAAAAATGAAAAAAATTATTTGAAATACTTGTACATTTATTTTAATGCAGTCAGTCAGTAGCTAATAGTCCCCACCAATAGGGGGTACATTTAATAGAGAATGATTATTGGTTTTCTAATTGTTGTGACATGCTTTGAGTACTTTTGTAAAACAAAAAACAAACATTTATTTATATTTTATTTAAATTATTCTGTATTTGAGTTATTCATATTGTTCACCTGTAGAGAACTAGTTTATTTCATGGTGTAGTGAAGGAGAGCACAGGTGAGGGCAACCGAATTGTATTTAACGAAAATTACAGAGTTACTCAGTAAAATAGGAAAACCATATCGTAACCGTTAATTTGCAAATCTTCAATCCATCATCAATCCATTGTCTGACATTTCACTATTCATGCGTTTCATACAAATTCCATTGTGTTCCCACTCTTCCTTTCTTGATCTTCCCCCATCTTCTGCTGCCAGACATTACGTTTTCACTCGCGTCATATACTACTTATAAGTAGCGCGCACCACAATGGGGTTATTATACTTCGTGATTCGTATCGTGGAACGCTAATCTCTTCGATTACTGCTAATACTCCTACTACTATGAGATTTGAAATGACAATTACATCTCTATGCGCTCCTGATGTGGAATGGCGACTAGAATTGATGTATGTATGTATGTACACGTATCAAGTTCGATGTTGTAGCTGATTGTTAACTGACTGACTGATACTAGTTCATAATTTAACAAAAATAATGTGTTAGAGAATATTATATTTTGAAAATTATAACTTTTAAATACGAATTTGATTCAAATTGTTACAATATATTAACAAACAGATAAATATCACGGTACAAGTAATAAAGGTGTCAGTAGACAATAATATGATTTGAGAAGACTGAATGAATATTTTCATTAAACAAAGAGTGATTGGATCCAACTGTCTCACTGTGATTGATTTTCAGACATATTACTGAAAGTCTGTAAATTATTGGTAACAATAAACATGCTAACTTGAATTAGTCAGTTAGCTACAACAGAGAACTTGATACGTGTACGTACATACATCAGTTCAAGTTGCCAAATCACGTTAGCACACAGAGATGCAATTATCAATTACAATCTCATAGTAGTAGACGTAGTAGAAGTTTTATCTGCAACTAAAAAGATTAGGGATCGACAATGTCATCAAGAAAGTTCACGAAGAACTCGTAAGATTGGAATTTGAGAGACAACAAAGAGTGAATGCATCTATGCCACTGAAGGTATCTTAAGCCATGTCATTCAAGGTCTCTAACCACCGGTTACGACCGACCGTAAGTGTTACCTCGACTCGGTGGTCTGGCTAACCTATCTTGATGACTCAACCGAGCTATATTGGCTAGAACACAGGTTTAGTTAGGTCCTACCATGCCAGGTAGATCGACTGGAGAGAGGTAAGGCTAAAAGCAACAACTTTAGTGTCTGGGGGCGAAGTCGTACTGCTCATTGACTGTAGAGGGATGTGACAGCAATACGGTGTTTCCCTCGGACAGTTAGTCAGTCAGCTACAACGTGGAACTTCGTACATCAGTACATAAGTTCAGGTTGCCATACCGCATTAGCACAGAGACGCAAATATCAGTTCAAATAACATAGTGGTAGCGATAGTAGAAGTATTAGCAATAGTGGAAAAGATAAGGGTTCGGACAACCGACATCTTCAATGAAGCTGCCTTTTCAAAAGGAACACTTAAAAAAATTCCGTGCACAATCGACGTCATTCAGTCGTCCGTTGAACTCTGAGGTCAAGCCTCCAGGACGCTAACTATAATCACATCGTTCACATCTATTAACCTACAACTCCAAGCAACAGTTAGTGAGTGAATTTATCATCAAACAATCAAAACCTATAGCTTAAATCAAATAAAATCGATTTTAAAAAAAATATACAAATACTCCATTCTGCATTATTTTTTTCAAAGAAAGAAAAACTGATTTAAACGAAAGAAAAAACCTACCGGAGATTCATGAAATAAATCTACTCGTGCTGCTAATGCCACTTTATTTGCTATTAATCGAGCAGCTTTTAAACGTAAATCTGGAGGTAGCTTTTGTACAATTTCTGAATTGAAAATATATCCTGTATGTGGTAGAACTGATGTATTACTGAATCCGGATAATAAACGTTTTTGTGCACCCAATACAAGAATATTACAAGATGGCATTTTAGTCAATGCAGTCAAACCACCAGCATGACCTTTTTTTAAAAACAGAAAGATAAATAATAGAAAATCAGCGTTGACAATTATCATTTATCATAACTAGTTCAACTTTATCAGGTGGTTGAGGTGGTTGGGACATGTGTTACGAATGCCCAACCACCGACTACCTCGACGAGCTATGTTTTGTGGTGTAGGAGGAGATTGGAAGAAAGTTAGGGGCGGCCAGACCGAAACATGGGAGAAATCCATCAAGTCAATGACAAGTGAACTGAGTCATGTTGGTAGATGTAGACTACCTGGTTGGGGTTCGCGAGACGATAGTCACCAATGGTTAGAAACCTTGAACGATATGGCTCAAAATCGTTTGCAATGGCGCAAGTGCATTCATTCGTTGAGCTCTCTCAAATCCTAATCTTCCGGATTCGTCAGCACCTCTACCTTTGTCTTTCTAACCTTATCTCACTGAACTATACTTCTTGAATAATATCTTCAAACCCTAGTCTTCTTTACTACCATTAATACCTCTACTATCTTTATCACTATGGGATTTGATTTGACATTTGCGTCTCTGTGCTAATGCGGTATGGCAACATGAACTTTTATGTACATACGTACGAAGTTCTACGTTGCAACTGACTGAATGACTTTATCAGATGTGAAGTAGCTACTACCTACGTAAAGCAATAAAAGATGATCGTGCAACATTACAAAATTGATTGGACTTATGTACTTTTATACATACATATAAACCACTGAGCTCCGGGTTCCATGATCGAGAGGTTAAGCTCATCGTGCGATCCAACGGTCTGGAATTCAACCTCGTCTGAAATCTTATATGTGTGTGCTAATGAGTCCAATACCGGGATTAAAACAACTTTCTAATGCTCCTAGTTTTTCAGCAGCCGTTATCTAACTGAAGTTGGTTAGTGATCAATCATCTCTAATAATCATTCAACAGCATTTATAATCGTTATACTGATGTTAACAGGCGAAAAGTAGCTATTGACTAAGGAAAATGTTATGTGAATATTGATCGCTTGAATATCAATCAAGAAATAGTATCATTGATCTTTAATCTTATTTTCTCACTTATTCAAACGATACAATGAAGTGTTGTTGTCGGTCAGTCGATGATTATTAAACTGTAAAAAAAAAATTCAAATAATTAATTGATATCACTTGAAATATGGACAGCCAGGATGCAGCAGCTGGACGATCAGAGCTTCACAGATGATTTGGCCACTCTATCGCACACGCAACACAACAAATGCAAGAGAAGACGACCAGTGTAGTAGCAAGTCTCAACATACTACACAAAGGGAAAAGCAAGGTTATCTGATACAACAACACAACATGCGTCAGTCAACCAAATCACGCTGGATGGAGGGAGATGACTTGGATGAAGAGTAAAAAGCTTTACTTATCTGGGCAGCATCGAAATCGAAAATCAATGTGAATCCAATGCATATGTGAAGGCACGGGTCGGCAAAGCAACGGATGCATTTCTACAATTGAAAAATATCTGTAACTCCAAACAACTATATCAATCAACACCAAAATCAGGATTTTCAATACAAATGTCAAGACAGTTCTACTGTATGGGGTGGAAACTTGGAAAACTATCAAACCCATCATCCAGAAGATACAAGTGATTCTTAACAGTTGTCTTCGCAAAATACTTCGGATCCAGACACCATCAGCAACAATCTACTGTGGGAGAGAACAAACCAAATTCTCCAGCTGAGGAAGAAATCACCAGAAATTGCTGGAAGTGGATGGGACATACATTGCGGAAAGCACCCAACCGCATTACAAGGCAACCACCCCTCACTTGGAACCCTCAAGGTTAAAGGAGAAGAAAGCCAAAGAACAGATTACGACGAGAAATAGTAGAGGAAGACATGAGAAGAATGATGAAGAGCAACTGGACGGAACTGGAAAAGGAAGCTCAGGACAGAATAGGGTTGGAGAATACAGGTCGGCAGCCTATGCTCCATTAGGGGTGACAGGCGTGCGTAACTAAAAGTAAGGAAGTACTTGAAAGAAAACAGAAAAGAAAGGCAAACACTAAAGCATAAATTATTATTATTATTATTATTATTATTATTATTTACCCATTAATTTCGCTGCTGTTGATGCACCTACTAGAATGCTTGTATTGGCAGCAATAAATGACATACGTGATTCTACATAAGCTAACATTGTAACACGCATTTCTTGTAATTCTATTGCCATAGTACATGCTTCAATAATACGTGTCAATTGATCCGATGTTAAAGATGATCCTTGAGTAGTTGATGCAGTGACTGATACAACCATAATTGTTGCTGGAGTTAAAAAAGAAGCAAGTAAATCAGTTTGTTTGGAACGTTCAAGTATATCATTTCCTAAGACCTTTAAGAAAAAAAGAAAGAATAATTATCGGAAAAATAAGTAGTGTTATAGATTTATTTATACACACTCTCAGTTGAAACGAAGTAATTTGTTAATAAATAAGGTTCTGGGTTCGAATCCTGCGAGGAGCAGGAGTCGTGGATGCGCACTGCTGATGAGTCCCACACCAGGACGAAACGGCCGTCCAGTGCTTCCAGGTTTCTAATGGTGGTCTAACATTGATCGATTCATGGTTACAAATAGTAAATAATTGACAAATTAGAAAAATACCTTGAGTGATTGGTGGTAAGTTAGTAAGAAACCCTCCCCCCAACCGTAGCTGCTATCTTGACATGGCGATCGGGCATGCCTATATCTTGACGATCCAACCGGGTTATATTGGCTGGAACATATGTTTCTGTAGGTTCTACCATGGCAGGCAGGTTGATTGGAGAACGGTAAGATCAAAAGCAGCAACTCAAAGTATGAGGGCAGAGCCGTGCTGCTGACAGTAGGAAGGTGTGACACTAGTAAGGTGTCTCCCTCGGACAACAGCATCTCTACCTTTGTCTTTCTAAACTTATCTCACTAAATTATACTTCTTGAATAATAATATCTCCAAACCCTTGTCTTCTTCATAACCATTAATACCTCTACGATCTCAATCATAATGGGATTTGATTTGACATTTGCGTCTCCGTGCTAATGTGGTATGGCAACATGAACTTATGTACATATGTACGAAGTTTTTACGTTGCAACTGACTAACTGACTGACAAGCATATACAAAAAGTTAAACTTTTTTTTAACATAAAGGCACCACTATAGGCGAATAAACTAACCAAAACAATTTTCAAATAATCCAAAAGTCCTGGTACAAGAGATTCAAGTTCAGGGAATCGCATTGAATACAAATCTCTAACATATTTATGAATGATATCTAGTTAGAGACAAAGGAAAAAAACAATCGTAAAGAATTCCGTTTTAGAATAAATCATGAACAATTGACAAAAATGTATGATCAAATTTAATTTTGCTACTTAAATATTGGAATGTCTGTCTGAGTTTGTTTTGATATATATGCCACATTAAATGTTAGAACCTTAGCATCCTTAGTTAACTTACTTACTTACTTACTTACGTTTGTTACCCCCAATGGAGCATAGGCCGCCCACTAGTTTTCTCCAACCATCTCTGTCCTGGGCTTCTCTCTCCAATTCAGTCAAATGTTTGTTCATTCTTCTCATATCTTTCTCTATTTCTCAGCGTAATTTATTCTTTGGCCTCCCTCTTTTCCTTTTGCCTTGAGGGTTCCATGAGAGGGCTTGTCTCGTGACTCAGTTAGGTGCTTTTCGTAGTGTGTGTCCTATCCACTTCCATCGCTTCTTCCTGATTTCCTCCTCCACTGGAATCTGGTTTGTTCTCTCCCATAGTAGGTTGTTGTTGATTCTGTCTGGCCAACAGATTCGAAGTATTTTGCCATAGACAACTGTTAATAAACATTTGTATCTTCTGGATGATGGCTTTGATAGTTTTCCATGTTTCGGCTCCATACAGTAGAGCTGTCTTGACATTTGTATTGAAAATCCTGATTTTGGTTTTGGTTGAAAGTTGTTTGGAGTTACAGATATTTTTCAACTGTAGAGATGCAGCCCTTAGTTAACATTGTATCATTATTATTTTATGTTTTAGTGAATCTATCTACACCATTGTAACGGGTTTTAAATCACTTAATTTATCCGACCACCGGTTCTGATAATCCTACGTAACCCAACCATGTAATCTGCATCAACCAACATCGCTATAAAAACAACATTCAACAATTTCATGAACTAGTGCCAAATCTATGTTTTTATCGCCTTTAACTCTAATTAAAACCAAAAATCTGTCAGCCAAAATCTTAAGTCGAAAAGGGGGGTTGTTAGGGGTAACGCATTTCCCAATCACCTCAGTTATTATTGATCAAGTAAGCTGAAATCACAATTCAGGTGTCTTGCTGGTAAAGACACTCCAGTAATGAAGATTAGACCACCACTCTCAAATTACTCCTTGTTAATATTAATCTAAACCAGTAATACAGCTCAGTAATTATGTGCAAGTTTATGCATTGACTGAGCCAAATTAACGACATTGATGATTACTCTTAACATGCTATTCATACCCATGATTTAGTGGTTCGAATTCTAACGTATAAAAGTGTTCAAAGAAGACAACACCAGCTCAACTCGATCAAGATATTGCTACAAGTGTTTAAACCTGATGTTATGGGTATGGGTATGAGGGCGGTTGTCACTTCCCGGCTGCCCACACCGTGGAAGGTTGTTTCTTGAGGGACCTGAAAAGGAAAATAGATTAGTGTTGGTCTCAGAGACGTGGTAGCATGACCGCAGAGTCCAAGGGACAACTGCTTGAGGCCGGTCATGCATGGCATTTTTATGAAAGGTATTTTGAGTATTAGCTCCGCTCTTTTAGAGCCCTTAGTGGACACCCTTACCCAAGGAGACGGAAATCTGTGAGTTAGGGGAGGTGTGACATTTTTAGGGCCGACCTTTTCTAACCCTTCCTTCCTTGTGAGAAGGCAGCATCGCTGCAGATGCTGGTTGTCCGAGGGAAACACCTTACTGCTGTCATACCCCTCTGCAATTAGCAGTACGACTTCGCCCTCAGACCTGGGGTAGCTGCTTTTAGTCTCATCGTTCTCCAATCGACTAGCCTGGCATGGTAGGACCTGCAGGAACATATGTTCCAGCCAGTATAGCTCGATTGGGTCATGACGATAGACCAGTCCGACCACCACGACAAGGTAGCAGCTACGGTCGGTGTTTAAACCTGATGAATATCTTTGGCTTTTAGCCTAGCAAATTCATCTGTACAGTATTTTTTTTTCTGTTGCTTTTTTAATCGCACTTGTAAGTGAGGAGAAAAAAACACCACTTTTTAAAAGACACTTACTAATTTCATTGTCAATTTCTACCATAAGATTATTCGCTTCAACAATACACTGATATTCTGGATCAGCTTCAACTGGGCCATGAATTCGATCACGTTTCTTTTGTTTCGCAAAACGATCAAGATCTGCCATGACATTGGTTAACTGTAAAATAAAAAATACATATTATGCAGAAAAAATAAACTAATGAAAAGTAATTTACACAAAGATTGTTAATTAATTAATTAAGGTAATGAAAATACTTTTAGTTATTCGTCTAGTACATCAATTCTTATCATTAAGCAACGCTGTTATTAGGACACGGGTGCTAGGTAAGAATGGCAGATCAATAGATGAAGTGTTGAAACTTCATCAGTTGAGATGGTTGGTACATGTGTTGCGTATACCTAACCACCGACTGCCTCGAAGAGCTTTGTTTTGTAGTGTAGGAGTAGGTTGGAAGAAAGTTAGGGGTGGCCAAATCAAAACATGGCAGAAATCTATGAAGTCATTGACGAGTGGACTGAGCCATGTCGGTAATTGTCGACTACCTGGTTGGGGTCCGCGAGATGATAATAATCGATGGTTAGAGACCTTGAATGACATGGCTCAAAATCGTTCGCAATGACGCCGGTGCATTTATTCTTTGTGTTCTCTCAAATCCTAATCTGGATTCTTCAACTTTGTAAACTTTTCCCACTGAATCATACTTCTTGAATAATATCTTCTAATTCTAACCTCTCCGATTACTTCTAATACCTTTACTACCTCTTCTATTATTGGATTTGAATTGACAATTACATCTCTGTGCTGATGTGGTATGGCGACATGAACTGATGTACTTACGTACAAAGTTCTACGTCGTATCTGACTGACTGACTTCTCGCAGTACCTATTTTTAGCAGATATAACTGTCATCTGTTTTTGACTGGGATGCATGCTAATTTCTTCATTTCTAACAATATTTATACTGTTCACTTAGCGCAGATCCCAAAATAAGTGGTTGGATAAGATTCAAATCTGCCTAATAACCCTAGTCTTCTTCATTACCATTAATACCTCTACTATCTTTATCACTATGGGATTTGATTTGACATTTGCGTCCCTGTGCAAATGTGGTATGGCAACATGAACTTATGTACATACGTACGTAGTTCTACGTTGCAACTGACTGACTGACTGACTGCCTAATAAAAATGTGAAATCAGGCTGTGAAAACTTTATTTTAACGAAATTTCCAGTTTGTCAATCTCATTTGCCTTTAAAATACTTCCTATTTTTGACAATATCCTTTGATAATATTTTTCAATTCTATTCATCAAGAATCATTCTTACAGTAAATTAGTTATCTGAAAAGACAAGAAGCAGAATAAATTCGATGTCGATCAATACAGATGGTTGATGGGTTTTAGTTTTCAGTTAGGCTTACTGTCTTCACGGACCCCATTGAAACATTTCATCTGTTTAGAGAAAACTATTTAGTTTAATCCGCTTTCTCCATACACACCCTTTAATATCTTAAATCATTTACTGATATGTCAGTAATTTGCATGATTTACAGCCCAAATAGTTTGTTCCGCGCACTTATTTGACAGGTAGTTATTAATCAGATATAATCATTGTGCGGTAATCATGGAGGACTAAGTTTGTAAGTGTGTAACTCAGATCAACAGATTTCATAACCCATTAATATCATATGCATGAAATAAATTGAGAATTGATTTCGGTTCTAATGACCAAAAACTTAATAGTTGAATTATAAACAACTATAAGCAATTTCAAGTTAATCCTACATAATTCTGGGGCACAGTTTTGAAGGTTTGCGTTTTTACACATTTGAAATCATCAATCAATCATTGTTAGACCACCATCATTAGAAAACTGGAAGCACTGAAAGACGGCCGTTTCGTCCTAGTATGGGATGATTTCAAATGTGTAAAAACGCAAGACCTCCAAAACTGCCCCAAAATATCGTAACAGTGCTCACTAGTGACTAGCTTCGTGAGGAAATTCTCGCAGTTCTAGGTTGAGAAGACGTGACCAATGGAGTTCAACCCTGTACGGGTATAGGCAGTAACTACTACCAAAGACAAATGGGTGAGGTCGCGCAAAATCCCTAGATCAATCAGAGTTAGACATTAACACCGTTGGACGCCGGCCCAGTGGTCCGATGGTAAGGCGTTCGCCTACAATGCCGAAGGTCCCGGGTTCGAATCTTGCGAGTAGCAGGAGTCGTGGATGCGCACTGCTGAGGAGTCCTGCATAATTCATTTCTTTTAGATTAATCTCCTACTGGAATGAAAAGTTATGCAACTGAAATAGTATTTTTTTCATACATAATCAGAAAAAGGTACAACAAGCCAAAATGGAACATTCAATTCTTTTTTTTCATAGCCAAATACTTACTCTATCACTGTTTCTTAACTTAGCGTAAGCAGTTATCGGAGCATCAGCAAAAGAAGCAGCTTTTAAGACATTTTTAAATCCTGAAGCTGATACATTCGACTGAAAATCATCCGATTTATTTACGCTTAACATAGTAACATCTTCAACTTCATGCAAATTTGAATCAGTTATCAATTCTTCTGATGTTTCAGCTCCTTCAAGATCAGCTAAAAGTTCATCAGCTAACGACATATTTTAGAAAACACTGATAAAATAGAGGTTGTGTGATAAATCAACCTGAAATTAAATAGGAGAGAGTAAGTAGTCAACATTAATGAAGGCAAACCATAAATAAGACGACTGATAAAATTCCATAGCATTTATTAGCATGCGTTTTAAAAATACAGTAAATTGTAGGCTCGAAGAGAAAATATATATATGGAAATATATATGTGAAGTACAGCTTAAGTTCACACAAGGAGAACACGGAGAATAATGCTGACATATGGTAAGATACTGGGTTTATAGGATAAATCAGCCAGCCAGACAAGTAAACTTTAGATTGTAAAACTAAAAGTTGAGCGGTTGAGCATGTTGACCACCTCACTTTTCCGGGGAGTCTCATCAGTGCAGATGTCCTGGTGAGTGATGAAATCTCAGCACGGATACAGAACGATCGATTGGCTTTGCCAATCTTCGTCACTTATGGAGTAGGTGAGATATCCGTCTGTTAACCAAAGGACGAGTGTACTGTTTGCTTCATCCTACTTTATGATGCGAAACATGGACAGTTAGAATAGAAGATATTCGAAGGTTACTGGTTTTTGATCGCAGGTGTCTCCGAAGTATTGCTCGTGCATCCTGAGCTATCCAAGCAAGCAATGCTGTAGTTAAGGAAACGAGTATTACATAACGCTGGTAGATCAATGGATGAAGTATTGAGACTTCATCAGTTAAGTGGTTGGGACATGTGTTGCGTATGCCCTGCCTCGACGAGCTATGTTTCGTGGTGTAGGAAAAGGGTTGGAAGAAATCTAGGGGCGGCCAAACCAGAACATGGCAGAAATCCATGAAGTTACTGACAAATGGACTGAGTCATGATTGATTGAGGCCGTGTGCCACCGGCCTCAGGTAGTTATAGCTTGGGCTCTGCGATCACGCTCCCAGGTCTCCGAGAGTAACGCTAATCTACATTCCTTTTCAGGTTCCTCAGGAAACAGACCGGAATTAACATCCGCCCCCATACCCGTAACCGCACATGAGACCAAATCGGTCATAATCAAATACTATTTACACAATTCCGCGAAACAATCGTAACTGGTGGTTAGAGACTGGATGACATGGTTCGAAATCATTTGCAATGGCACAAAAGCATCTACTTTTTGTCTTTTATTATGAGCTCATGAGCTCAGGATCTTCTTCTCTTTTTAAATGTTTTACTGGGTTACACTCATCGAATGATATCTTTTATCCCGAATCTTTTAGACTGTCTCTAATAATGCTAAAACTTCTATTACTATAGGAATCGAACTAGCAAATCCATCTTGTATACTAGTGTGGTATAGCAATCTGAACTGTTGTACGTATTGCTCAAGTCCTACGCTGCAGCTGACTGACTGTATGAACATCCTGGCTGATGTTCACTAGACAGTCAAAGTATGTAGTTGCAGACCTTAAATAATTAGACTAGAACCGTTCATAGTGGTGCAAATGTATTTACACCGGACTAGAATTGACAATCACGTGTCTGTGCTTATGTGGTGTGGCAACTTGAACTGGTTTACTACGTAAGTACGAAGTTCTGCGTTGTAACTAACTGACCCACAACGCAGTTTTACACATACCAAGAACAGGTTTCAGTTCTACATTTCGTATTGCCCATATTGTTGCCAACCAAAACACCTATTCGATTCACCACCAGCGTAAATCTTTTTTCTCTATGTTGACATGAGGCATCACAGCTTGAGACTACATACATTTATGACATTGTTCTGAGCTGGTTGATTACTAACTGTTTGGAATATGTTTCAGCGGTAACAGTAAACAAAAACTGTCTGGTTACTGTACGGGCAAACCTACTACCAATAGCTGATATGGTTGAAAACAGATCACAGTGAAGCAAATACATTCAACTCTTGTTGATCCATAGGTCCTGAGACAACACAAAAATACATTAATCGAATAAACTGAACTGGATGTTCAAACAATGGTAAAACAAAAAGCCAAAATATAGCATGAAAATCCTTGAATTTAGTGTATTGTTGACAGTTAAGATTCTGTCACTAGATCAAGACCAAATCAAACACAATAATAAACGCAAACAAATTACCGGTTGTTGTAACCCGAAACTAGAAGGTGCCTCTAAGAAAATTGTTCATTATCCAATTACCGCCAGACACCCCATTGGAGCAGATGCAGCCGACCAGTGTTCTCTTACCTACCTACCAGTTCTACCCAATCCTTATGCATTCTTTTCGTATCTTTCTCTGTTTCTTGGCGCAATGTGTTCTTTCGCCATCCACTTTTCCTCTGACCTTGAGGGTCATATCCGGGAACTTGTCTTGTGACGCAGTCGGGTGCTTACTTCAATGTATGTCCTGTCCATTTCCAGCTCTTATTCCTGATTTCCTGCTCAACTAGAATCCTTTTTGCTCGTTCCCACAGTAGATTGTTGTTGCTGGTGTCTGGTAGACGGATCAGAAGTATTTTGTGTTGACAACTGTTAGTGAATACTTGAAACCTTGGTAGTTTTCCGAGTTTCCGCCCTACATAGTAGAAATGTTTTGACATTTGTATTGAAAATTCTGGCCTTATTGTTTGTCGACAGTTATTTTGAGTTCCAGATATTATTCAATAGTAGAAATGCAGCCCTTGCTTTCCTGATCCCCGCTCTCGCATCTGCATCGGATCCACCTTGACTGTCGATGATTTTGCCCAGATATGTGAAGGTTTTAAAATCCTCCGAGGCATCCGCATCAAGTGTGATTTAGTTGACGCATGTTGTGTTGTATTGGAGATTCTTGCTTTTCCCTTTAGTTATGTTGAGACTTGTTATTATCCAATATCTAATCCAAAATATTTTCGCGATCTACTGTAATCCAACTGATTTATTTACGCCCGCTTCTTGTTCTTCCGCTACGGTTCCTGGTATTTGATGTTGTCCAATGGATGATGGTCTAGCCACCTGACTGCACTAATTCTAGTTGGTTGACAGCTGTTTGTGAGTTTGTATGTCTCGTGATTTGAATGAGTATTTTTATTTCATGGAAGTAGGGTTTTTGGATACCAGCAGCTATCACGCTATTAGGCCGGAGTTTTCGAAGATTTTGCGAGAAGATCGATATGTAATCGATAGAAAGGAAATGGAGATAGAGATAGATTAAGTTAGTGATGTGTAAAGATGGTAAAAATAAAAACTAGCAGGTCTCTAGAAATGAGCCAGGCACAGCTGGTCCTCGAGGGAGATGATAATCCGTATGTTCATACGTGTTTGTCAAGTCTCTTATTGAAGTTATCCACTGAAGGGGCATTCCAAGTTGCAACCACTCTGAATGAGGAAAAGCGTGCACTAACTTGCGCGTTCACTCTGTGATGCGTAATTTTTCTAGGATTACTTCAACGGTCGTGGTGGTGATGCTTCGGTGTGTGAGCTCGCTTATGTTTTAGACAGCGTTAAGAATAATTCTGGGGTGATTACACCAAGTTGTCTCCATATAAGGTGAAGAACGGCGCTTAACTTGGCAGCCACCCTATGTGGTTTGAACTGATGCCTTGGCTTTCAGTGTTAATAAGACTGAGATCTAGCTCTGAGTAGAAATTAGGTAGCGGACTTCCATTGAGGCTGTAAGTCGTTTGAGTCAGAATGTTCATAACGTGTCGTTTCGATCAATTTAGTTTTAAACTGTTTCCCACTGCCCATTCCTCAATAGATGTGGGATCCCCTTGAAGTCAAGTCGAGTCCCCTTCGCTTCTTGTGGATCTCCAGCACTTTGAACCACCTGCAAAGTGAAATTCCGCTGCGATAATTTGTCTAACGGATCATAAATTAATATCAGGAAGAGGAAATTAGTGATATTCAGACTCTACAACTCGCGTGAACTTTGCTTAGCTCGGTGCCAGACTTTCTATTCTCAAGGTAGCCTCTGAGCCAAGACAGGAGTGGGTCGGTAAAGCCCATTTCCCCACTCTTTGCGATTAGAAGTGCGTGGAGTACTGTGTCGAGGGCTTTGACGAGGCCAAAAATGTTCATGTGCAGTGGTACTTTTGGGTCCAAGCAGGTTGTCCAGATATCTCATGCTTTGAGAAGATTGGACGAGCACAACCAGCCTTTCCGAAACCCGTCTTCAGCTTCATGAAGTTCTCTTCTCGTCCGTGCACTTTCCAATTCGTTCATTGATCAGAACTTCTATTAACTTCGATAGTATTGATAGTAAAGCGACTGGTCTGTAACGGTCCAGGTTTTCTCTATCTCCTCCTTTGAAGATTTGAGAGAAAGCAGCTTGTCCCCAAACAGCTGGGAGTCAGAGTTACTCCACGGAATGCCGGAACAGGTAACACGTTGGTGAATAAGGCCTCCTGCACTCTGTTTCAAAACTATAGTGCGAATATCGTCACATCCTGATGACATTCCTGGGCAAAGGTATTTTAGTTTTCTTAGTACTAAGTCAGGAGTAGGCCGAATATTCCCTAGGCCATCAGGTGGTACCAAGTCGGAGAGGTACTCTAAACGTGTAGGCACTTGGTTTACCTGATTGGTGAAGTTGGTGTTGAAGTGCTCACTCTTTTCTTAGTTGGTAAGATCTTCGAAATTTGGACCTTCGAGGGCAAAACACCCTGATTCGTGGGTTTCGTTTTAGTCATGAACCTAAATAGATGTTTGTATTTTTTCTTTATCTAGGCAGGTAGCTTCATCTGGAAGTGTTTCCTTGACACTGCATCTGTTTCTAAATGCCAAGTAATCTCTACAACCGGAATCCATCCACTTGTGACAGGCTCTCTTTTTCGCCTGTGGCAAGCTCTCAGTGCCTCACCTAACACATGCTCCCCTCTTTCCCGGTGTGTGGTGTGCCTAAAATGCATTGTGTGGTACAGTATTATGGATGGTATCGCTTGCTGTTAGCCAATGGTCATCTACTGTAATCTCATTCCATTCCCGTGTCCATGAAGCGTGTAGGAGATGCCTACTCATGCACATGTGGTTCGTCCTAGTGTAGCATAATTAGGGCTCATTTTCGACCCTCCTGTGTGTTTCGTTTATGATCATGTTAAACTTGACTGTGCCATAGTCACCACTTTCTATTGATGTGAACATCCTCGACCAGGCGGTGATCATTCATTAACAAATAACACAAGTTTGGGTATTGGCCATGCTTAGTCTATCTATTATTATTATTATTATTATTATTATTATTATTATTATCAAATGGCTCAACATACATGCTCGACGAGCCCGAAGCTTATAATGGCCGCACCAACTTGTCTGTGGAATTAACAAGTGGGAGTTGTACTCTGTTTTCTGAGATTTGGAGATGAGGTGTTGAAATATCCTGCTCAGAGTATTTAATCAAACCTAAGGATTGGCAGTTGCAGTGTTGCCTCAGTCAGTTTGTCTTTCGAGGCGTTAGTACTTGAGGTGGGCCGGTAAATCCTGATCACCGATTTCTGAAGTCTAATGCCATCAGGCTTGGGGACTTGAAAGTCGTTAGGAGTGATAGACGATATGGATAGTTGCTAATTACCATGGTGGTGTGGAGGCCAATGTTACGCGATAGACATCGCCATTGTTGCATATCGCGTCTGTCAGCTCCACCCAAGAGTAGATTTATTTCGACAGTGGCTGTCCCAATTGTTTCCTGTAGAAACACTCCTGTACGTTCCTCCTAGTTCCGGGTCCCGACCAAATCAAAAAGGGCAAAATTCTAGGAGAAAACGTCTCTATATTATTAAAAAATGGAAATACAAGGCCTTACGGAATTTGTGTTTCTTCCAGGGTTAAGTTACTCCGCAGATTATCCGCCACAATGACCAATAAGTGACACTAAGTCCAGCAGCCACCGCGTCCGTCCAAAAATGTGGCGGTAGCCATATTATATCAAATTTAAACAATATATGTACAGTTCAGAAGCAAACACAAAATCTTCAATATAAGTACAAATATAGAAAGAATAACAATATACAATGATAAAATCTCAAATTGGACTCAAATAAAATACCAAAAATGTCAAGAGAAAAAGTCCATCATGTCATAGCAAAAATATGTAAACATGGAGGGATTTTCCAAAAAACAAAACATTCAAAAAGAATTCTACACCGGCCCGCAAAATCCCTCCATGCAAAAAGAGCAAGCGTTAATGACACTTTATTTAGGGTTCCCATGTTATCCCCTAATCCACACCGGAATAACGTGTAGGACTTACAGCAGTACGCCTACCCGCCATCCAACATGGATATGACCTATCGTGTTAACTAGGTACCTATACTTTCTCATCAGGCCCTTGATTCCCCTATCTATCGTGGAATGACCTAACGGTAGTATAAACCTTACCCAATTAACCCACACGAACATGAACAACACACCGTAAAACTGGTCATATCCTATCCGAAGACTACATTCTCTATCATGGGGACGAGTCGCCAATCCACCACCACTTGCTCCGATCAGCAGATACCATGAAGTCCGTGATGCTAAATTATCAACAGAAATTCTTGACCCATAGATAATATGCAAGGGTGGGATCTCCAATTTTGACATTTCATCGTCTCCAGAAGACCTTAAATAGCATGACCTAGGATCAATATTTATCCTTCCATCTCCTGATGCAGAGGAGGTTTGAACAGTATTCATCATCATCGGTAACTCATTTGTCACATCAGTGACATCCAGTTTATTATCAACGTCTAAATGATTCCGTTCTGCATTAGCATCCGTTTCCGCGGCACAAGACATATGCTCAACAACAGCATCGTCATCACACCGCACCTTAGACTGGCTGTTACCATCAAACACTTTCTTCTCATCATCACTCGACTGACAGTCAACCGTAATAGGAACAGTTACAGTTGCACAACCTTGTGCATCTTCAATCAACTTAACCTTCGTGACGAGGTCCGATGGCATCGAAACACTAGGAGGCTCATTCGATGAAGTTGATAAACTATTCCCTATAAGTGAACTGCTGACACTTTCTATATCCTTATTATCACTGTCACTACTAAGGTTCTGATGGCTACTATTTCCATGGCTAGTCGTAGCATCCGAAAGAGCATGAGGTTCAGGCTTCTTAGTAATAGTAGCATCATGTTGTCTCCTAGGCTTCTTAGCCGTTACTGTACCACCATCACTTATCCTAGAATCTACTCTAGGTCCAGTTATATAATTTACCCTAACTGAAGGGTTCCGAAAATAAGCTTTATTCCGTTCAGTCAATCCTGCCTGGGCTTTATTCATATTTGCTGAACTCACTAACCTCTGATTACTCGAATCCAAATTACCGTTCCAGGCTTTTCGAGCAGCTAAGAGGCTTTTATCATCACACACTT